TCTTTTCAGTGATGACTGGATCATGTTGTATTGCTCTGTCACCAGTCTGGTGAGGTTGGATCACAGGTTCTTTTAGGTTCCACAACAGTAGAAGTACTTAAGGTTTTATTCCAAGATGGTATAAAAAAATTAACATAGCCACATAGCATGGGACAGCAATTAAATAATATTAAAACAAGATAGTAATTAAGCATATTTAAAAATACAGTAAGTCAAGAAGACTTTATATCCTTTCTGACAGGCAAGGAACCCTGAAGAGATGATGGCAGGTGGATTTCTTCAAAGCCAGCAAATGAGCAGCACTCATTCAGTTAGGTCTACATCTAATCCCATGTGGGTTTTTGATTATCTTATTAAGCCCACTTGCTTTTCAGTGGTTTAATCTCAGTTGATTACTGGTGGCAATAGGCCACCTCAAAGTTGAGGAGCATCTGTTTCTCCAAGGTTAATTGGGATTGAAGATGAGAGAGAGATTTTGGGAAATATTAAAAAGGCAGAATATATTTCCCCAAAGGAATAATGGAGAAGATATTTAAAAAAGCCAGAAACCAGCCCCCAGAAATCAGCCCAGCACCTAGGCAGAAGCCAGCTTTTAGAAATGCAAATTCAATAATCCTTTCAGAAAAGTTGGAGCCTTCCAGCTAGAAACTGAAGAGATTAGGAAAACAAAGATCCTTAAAATCTACATACCCCACACAAACTCTAAGACAGGATATAATAGGATTATGTCCAATACCAATACCAAAAAGGCACACTCCGACTCAGGTCAAAGTACATGACACAGGAAATACAAAGCCTCAAACAGGAACAGAAAACAACCTCAAGAGCCCCAGAAGGTATAAAAGCCTCTGCTCCATGTGATCAATTGTTTTTCCAGAGTCATCTTTCTGTCTGGCTCTCCTTTTCAATAAACTACAACCTTCTTTCTAAAGCAGTCTCCATGTTTGTTTATTCCCAGCTTGGACTGGACCCCGATGAAGATTTTTCTTTCAACACTAGTTACTCAGGTGTCTCATCTGAGAAAATTTAGAACAAAGTAAAATATATGTGTGAGTGAATAGTACTGGAGCTGAACAGGATTAGGTAACAAGAAGGTCCTGATCCTGTACATCTCCAAGATGTTCTGGATCAGTCGAAACAGAAATTGATTAATAATAGTAATGGGCTGCTTTGAGAGTGAGAGGGAGAGAGAAGCTGCTCCATTCTTTTGCTTCATGGTGTAACTCAGCTGTTACTTGAGCAGCTACTAAGCACAGCTTAGCCTGTTTCTAATAAGAATCTGACAATCGGCTCCGGGGAGCAGTAGTTGATTCAATAAATGGCTAGACTGATGGATTTATTAACAAATTTATTTGTTAAAATTTGTTCTGGTTTTTTTGGAAGTGTTTTGTCTTTAAATGAAGACCTGTGTGACACTTGTGTAAAACCAAAGAAACTGTTGACAGATGCCTAAATCTGCTGGTGTACCCATCTCTTCTCCTGACCCCAGCTGGAGTTTTTCCTATCATCTGATGATACTTGGTGGGAGGAGAAGAGAGGGACACCAGTCCATCAATCCTCATTCTTAATGTATCCTGTACACCAGTGTTTCCCAAACTTGACAATTTTAAGGCATGAGGACTTCAACTCCCAGAATTCCACAGCCAGCAACGCTGGCTGTGGAATTCTGGGAGTTGAAGTCCACATGCTTTAAAATTGTCAAGTTTGGGAAACACTGCTGTACACAATAAATAAGGATGGCACTATTTGCTGGCATCAAGCTTTTGGCAGGATAAGGATCAGAACTCAGCAAATATTATGCTGATAGAATTGATTGTTGGCTGAAACTGAGACTGGGAGGCTTTCAACCACAAGAAAGAAGTCTTAGTAGCTTCAGCTATCTACAAATACAGGTAGTCTTTGACTTACAAGAGTTTGTTTAGTGACTGTTCAAAGTTACAACAGCACTGAAAAAAATGACTTATGACCATTTTTTACAGTTACAATCTTTCAGGCATCCCCATGATCATGTGATCAAAATTCAGATGCTTGGCGACTGGTTCATACTTATGACCATTGCTGTGTTCCAAGGTCGTATAATCACCTTTTGTAACCTTTTGACAATTAAAGTCAATGGGGAGCCAGATTCACTTAACAACCAGGTTACTAACTTATCAACTGCAGTGATTCACTTAATAACTCTGGCAAGAAAGGTCATAAAATAGGGCAAAACTCACCTAACAAATGTCTCCCTTAACGACAGAAATTTTGGGCTCAGTTTTGATCATAAGATGAAGACTTATCTGTAGAGCACTTTTACCCAATATCCGTTTTCATTTCTCAACTCTAACAACACATTTCGAAATTTACTACTTTCATGCTTCCTGACCTCAGAATGCTGAGAACAAGCAGGGAATAAATACAATGAGGCAGTCAGTGCTTCCTCCTGCTGACCAATAAGAGAATGTAAAAAACTAAATAAAATTGCCTGGCAGCTCCTGAAGTTAAAAAGAAAAAAGAAAGCCAACCCATCCCCCCTTCACTATTCCTCCAAGCCAGAAAGTCAGATGCTTTCCAAGAAGAGAAAGCCTAAGGGGGCAGACATGCCTCTGCTTGGACAGCTTGCCTAGCAGGATAGGATGGAATCAATATACATTATTTCCATTTACATAGATCCACCTGGAAGACAATTCTTGTAGTGCAAAAAATTCAGTACAAAAACCTATTCAGCAAATTTTCTCCCTTAGTTTTTATGGATGGGTAGAGGTTGACAAGGGCATTAATGATGGTGAGTAAAGTATCCCAGTCCAGGAAAAGCAACAGTTTGTTCACAAGTAGTTGGGCAAAGGCCTTCATCACCAGAGTCTCCAGGAGCAGTGAAACCAGCAAATTGCAGTCCAGTTTTGTCTGGAAAAGGGATATTCCACTTTAAGTCAAATATGGTCTATCTTGGATTCAGTTGCCACACAATCCAAATACACTCTCTGTGTGTAGGATTCAATCTGTAGCTGTTTTCCCCCTTCTGACCTTCACTGCCTCCAGAAACTGTATCAGGACCTCCACTTCATTTCTTGTCTGAGGCAGAGTAGATAAAGATATATATATCATCAGTACATTGTCCTCTCTGTTTCATGGAGCAATTAAACAATAAAGGAGAGAAGATTAAGTCTTGCAGACCAAATCTCTCCTCACCCACCAATAACAACTGGAACCGGCCACTTAAAATAGAACCGCTGCAGAACAATGCCTCCTAATCCCATATCTCATTTTCAGCCCAGGAAGATACCATGGTCACTGGCATTGAAGGCCCCTCCAAGGACCAATGGAACCAGAATAGTCACACTCCTTCTATCCCAGTTCTTCCAAATATCATCAACCAGAATGACCAATGCTGTTTGGTCCCACACCCAGATTGAATCCAGATTTTTAAAAGTTACCTAATCTGTTTCCTCCCGTGCTATCATTAATGGCACTCCAACTATCTTCTCAGCAATCTTCTCTCAAAATGGAAAAGTTGGAAATCAATTGAAACAATTCATCTTCACTGCAAATAATAATAGATTAATTTCCCCAAATAGCTGTTATTATTGTTTGATGGAACAACCTTTTTCGTGGGCGTGAGCCTAGCGTTGCCATGGTGCCTGGGAAGAGAAATATGCCTTCACAGTAACTATGGATACTCATTCCTACAATCCCTCTGGACACTTTAATCAAGACACAGGTCATCATAAATCATGATTCTTAAAAATAATAGTTGTTGCATTTATTTTGCAACACTTGGACATGTAACAGGTCTTAACTTCTGTCTCCACCCAAAAAAGCATCAATAAAGACTATTCAATTCCCATTTCACTCTTTGGAGCTAATTTTCTGACTTAATGGACCTGTGTTTAATTCAATTATAACCTTGGGTAGGTGGTGGTGGGGATTTGGCTTCACTTTTTTCATTTCTTAGTAGTCATCTCTCTGGAGGATAGAGTATAAATTAAATAAATAAATAGGTCCCCCCCCCAATTCAGTGTTGTTACACACTTTCCTTTATAATGCTTCAGTTACAATTGCCCTGGGCTAGGATTTGTTAGTGTGCAGAATCTTGCTAATTCTTGTTTACTTTAAAGATTTGACATAGGTCCTGTTATCAGCTTTCATATCATAATGTATTGCCCTGAAAAAATCTTTTCTCTTGGTGGTTTAGAGATCAACAAAGGTTTTGTTATTTGGTTCCGGTTACAATATTTCTTTTTAACTGACATGTTTCAAGATGCCTTATTATGGTAGGAAGAATGTTCAGTACTTTTTACAAAGCATAAAATTAATGAGCATCTTAAGTGGGTATCCTGAAAACACTAAAGAGACTTTTCCCCCTCAGGAAATCAGTATGATTAGAATCAGTGCATTTTAGCACCTTGATTGTTCTAGGGGTGAACTGCATGCAATTTTAATCAATTTTACACTATTTTCACACTCAATTCCTCTTTCCAGAATACTCTGAATTTCCTAGGGTAAGAGACACATAGGATTTTTATTAGTTGGATTCTTGTTTATTCTGGACATTTACTTATTAATGGAATTTAATTATTTCCTCAAGTCAGACCTGGTATACAAACCCTATTTATTCCTGCTTCTACTATATAGTATTTAGGATTTAGAAAGTCTGACATCTTAATCTCTGCCCCGTTTATTTTGTCAAGATTGTTCAACAATGTAGCACTGTACTTTGCAGAGGGATTTTTCAAAGGGGATCAGAAATGGCTTTTTAAATATTAAACTGTCAGCAATAGAATCCACATATCCCACTGGATCAGGATTTATTTCGATAACATGCCAACTTCTAACCAAGGTACCTTATGTCTCTCTTGGCACACTCTCTAAGCCCACCAAATGTCAGTTTAATAGCTTCCATGATAAATGGAAGCTGAGTTTAAGGGTTAAGTCAAAGGAAGTTTCTGTGCAAAAGGAAATGTAGGGGAATCTGTTTCCTCTACAGACAGTCAGCAGAGGGCTCTATTGGCCAGCCTGCACTCAAATGAATTACTGCGGTAACAAATTCCACTTACTAAGTTATCCTTCCTTGGAGCCCAGGAACAGCTGCTACGGTAGGTATACATACACCTCACATTTTCCTGATAAAGCTTGTATGAGTGTTTAGTGATGCTTCCTGACTGGAAGAAATGCTTCACTGAAAAAGGAAGGCGTGAAATTCTGCCATGAAATTTGATATTCAGTAATGGCAAAGTAGGCAAATTCTTTGTGACACATTACTAGAAAAATGCCTAGAAATGAAGCGTATTGCATTAATGCTACTATCAATATGCTGTTTACTGACATTGTGTGTCGCATTTCCAAGTATCCAGGCCAGCACATTCTTCATTTTACTAGATGGGAGAATACGAAAAATTGCAACATATAATAATAATAATAATAGTAATAATAATAATAATAATAATAATAATAATAATAATAATAATAATAAAAACAGCAACAGCATGCTCTCCATGATGCAGTAATGGGAAACAGGAGTGAGGATGAGAGAGCATTGTTCAAAGTCACCTCATGAACTGATAAACCAGGGCATCTTTACTTTTAATACTGGAAGGTCTGCAGGGGAATAAAAACTATTTAAAATAGTAGTCACAACCATGGGATCACACATTAAAAACGACCTGGGCTTTAATCTTGAATTCAAGAGACTTTTTTGACCTCACCTGCAAATCCCTTGACTGTAAGAATCTCTAGGTTACTCTCTCAGCCAGCTCTGATATTGTGTGTTTTCTTTTTTAAATATCTGTTTATTGTTTCTTTATTAATGATATTTCTCAAAGTTGGCTTTCAGATTTTCCCTTTCCGAGACTGCTACTTTCTCTAAGTTGCAGATGTACAAAGCATGATGGAGTTCTGATATAACCATCTTTGGAATGAAATGATATGTGATATATGTAGACAGTGGTAGGGCTAAAATAATTGATAGTCACAATGAAAATGGCTACTAGATGGCACCAAAGGGTTATAGATTTCTGAATTTTTTGCTTCTGCTTGGCAATGCTTAGATATGGTCGCACCAGAAAGCAGCAATAAAGTGATCAGCAGTGGCCATCCACAAAGCAGTGTTGTTAAACAGTTGGGCACTGATCAGTTACAGTAATTTACACATATCCTGGGATGAAAACCAGATATATCAGGTCATGAAATAATAGAAGTGTCCTTCATGCATTATTATCCAACACTTTCAGACTGGATTCTCTCCCTCTCTTTGCTCCAAGCAGCTGCTTTGATGCCAGCAAGAGAATGGCCTGGCTGAAAATGTTCCCCCAAATGTAAAATAAATTGACGTACACCACTTAGTGTGAGTGTAACTATCACCTTTTAACTGTGATAAAAGGTGATAGTTTCAGACTGAAGATCCTGCACTTGCTAGTTGCACTAGAAAAATGCTTATATTAATGTAAATAAAATTCTTTTTTTTTTTTTAAGAAAATATCAAATGTAGGATCCCTGGTTATATTGTAACCTTAGTGGGAGAAAATGGATTAAAATGAATTTGCTCTCCCCACCTTACTTCTATTGACATAAATACATGCACATTCTTTTTTTTCTCCTCAAAATCCATTCGTTCAATCACTAGTTATTTGAATTATGTCTTTAGCTTAGTTTTTAAGGCTACTAAATGGAATGGATTAGCAGTAGATAAAATTAAGTACCAGCTATCAGAGCTCTCTTTAGCTACAAAGTAGCACTGTATGTGGGAGTAATACAGACTTTGATGATTCAAAGAGAAAGGAACAAATCTAAAATGCTCCACTTTCCTAAAAGTCTCATTCTGGTACTTCAATGAACATCTTAAAAATTGTAATGGAATAGATGAGTGGAAGTAGTTTTGTTACACAAAGCTCGGGTCATTTCTAAGTTTATAGATCTCCTCCTCCTCCTCCTCCTCCTCCTCCTCCTCCTCCTCCTCCTCCTCCTCCTCCTCCTCCTTTTTCCCATTACAACAAGCTTGTGAGATGGGCTGGTCACACTTTGACCATAGTTAAACAGGGTGTTTCACATCTAGCTGAAAAGCTGCAAGAATGATTGAGCAGTTCTTCTGATCTCACACAACACAATTGGGTCTCTTGTCTATTTCTTCTTATCTTTATTCTTTTCTTTCTTCCCCTATTTTGCTTGATGAGCACTGTACAAATTATTTCCCATGTTTCCTGGCCAGACATAGGCACTGCCTTTCCATGGCTCCATCAGAGTAAGGGGAAGGCTCTGCTGCTCCTGGGCTTGCCTTCCCTTTCAGAAAGACATGCCAGTTTTTGTCAAATGTCAAGGCTGGTTTGAAGGAGCCAGTCTGATGGACCTGACTAAATATATACCATTTAGGCCGTTATTTGGATGCCAAAAAGCTTCCGAGCTTTCTCTTTAGCTGTGTACTTTTGCTGATCCTATCTAGGCAAGGCTGGGATAACTGGTAAATCTAGACTAAAAGGAAGTCAGAAATGTTTTTCAGGGAAAGTTAAAGCTATTTGTTTTGTCCTTCATAAGATTAGATCAAAAGTCGTAAACCAATGATGCTAAATAAAGCTTTTCCAAAATCATCGGAAATGATATTCTTCTCAATTAGTTCTTTGAGCTCTTAATGTGCTGAAATAACAATAGATCATCATGGAGAAAATCTATTCATGTGGTCAAAAATAATGATGGCACATAATCAGTGCTGAAGTACAACAGTGGGGGATCACTCTGCTTCAAAATAATTGGAATAAAATAGCAATAATACCTCCTTGGAGTCAATGAAGGATGGCCATACCTAACTCCTGTTATTATAATGAGATGCTCAGTCCCACTTAAGCCACATTTAAAACAGTGTTCTACTGGGTTTAAGCATCATCTACTCAGTGTCATGGGGTTACTATATTATGGAGTTCTCTCTGAAGGGTCTAGGACAAGTTGCCGCAGCCAACGTGCCATGGCCAACTCACTATGGGACAACTCACTATGGTGAACTTGCCACGGGACAACTCACTGCAAGACAAGAGTTACATTAATATTGAAGAAATGGTGGAATAGAATCATTAAAGAAAGGATGCCAAAGGAGGGGCAACATGAAATGTATATGACAAAAATTAAAATATTTTTAAAATTATTTTAAATAATTAAATTGAATTGTTGAATTGTCCCGCAGTGAACTGTCCAGCAGCAAGTTGGCCATGGTGAATTGGCCCTGGTGAGCTGTCTCATTCCGTTCTCTCAATCCTCAACTTAGATTAACGAAAAACTAATCACACATTTGTGTGATTAAGGACAAAGCTGCAAAATCAGGTTGCTCCAGCACAGTACAGGCCATTCACTCTTTCTTGAAGATAGAAGGCACCATGTCATCATCCCATTCCACTGGGAAGGTCACCTCCACTCACTCTTTCCTGCTACACATCAAAAGTGCTGTTATCTGACTTGCGCTGCTACCACAGGCAAGGCTGTCTAGTTCACTTGCTGCACTTCATTTCATGGTAGGCAAACATCTCCACTCCAGCTGGGTACTGTGCACTGGGTATTCCCCTCTCTGCCCTCCATTTCCCATACCCCCCTGCTTTTATTACAAGTTCAACTTGGCCAAAATGATTTTAATAAAATAGTTTCTCTGCTCAGTTTTTGTTCTTCATTTCCTTATATGTTTATTGCCTTCTGCCTTCGGCCACTGTTTTTTATTTATATTTACTTTCCTTATTACTCTTTTCTTATTTATTTATATTTATAGGTATTTTTTTTTTGTAAAATATACATTTTAATAATATTTTAACCTTCTTCTTACTTAGACCTGGATTCCCTATGATGGGTCTTATGTGTCTGTTTCCCCCTCACTGTATAATTCTTTGCATTTCATATTGTAATTTTATATTCCAATGATCTTTTTATACTGTTTTGTTTTATGCTGAGCTTTGGTCATAGTCAATGTTTAATTGTTACACAAGTTCACCAGTAGTTCAGTGAAAATCTGGACTTTAAAAAAAAAAAGTTCATTGATGGAAAGATAAACTGGTAGGCCTGTATTTGGTTTGTTTTAAACCATTTAAAGTTCACCAGAATTTTGTCTCTTTTCCTCTTCTTGCCCAAGTGACGGGAAAAAAATGATAAAACTATTTTTTTTCTTTATTAAAATTGGTGCTGGAGAGGAAAATCCATCTAGCAGGAGCCAGGGTAAATACAGCTAAACAAGAATCAGAAGTCTGATAGAAGTCAGATTAACAAGTTTTATTCAAAGGCATAAGCTTTTGTGAGCTATAGAACAACTCATTCTATTAAAGGCAGTGCATTATATCTGATGAAGTGAGCTGTATCTCACAAAATCTTATAGCTTTTAATAAAACTTGTTAATCTGAAAAGGTGCTATCAGACTTCAAATTTTTGACTGCCAAAGATTAACACAGACGTTGTCTTTCTACAATGTTTACAAAGAGATGATCAAGCCATTGCTGTAACCAAAGCAGGAAAAGAGATGAAAATAAAAAAAGATTTTTTTTTAAAAAAACAGCCTTTATTTCTAACCAATTCACACAACATGTTAAAACCACCAGAAGGCTGAAGAAAGAGAAATGGGGGATTTTCAGCTCTTCATTTTGATCTTAACTAGCAACTTTAATGAAGAGAAGGACAAGGGCGGATGTAATAGCAGTGTTCCAATATCTCAGGGGCTGCCACAAATAAGAGAGAGTGAAGCTATTTTTCAAAGCGCCTGAAGGCAGGACAAGAAGCAATGGATGGAAACTAATCAAGGAGAGAAGCAACCTAGAACTAAGGAGAAACTTCTAGACAGTTAGAACAATTAACCAGTGGAACAACCTGCCTCCAGAAGTGGTGAATGCTCCAACAGTGGAAGTTTTTAAGAAGAGACTGGACAGCCATTTGTCCGAAATGGTATAGGGTTTCCTGCCTGAGCAGGGGGTTGGACTAGATGATCTCCAAAGTCCCTTCCAACTTTATTATTATTATTATGGATCATCGCACAGTCAGCCAGATGTTCAGACTGGATTTGGCATTTTGTCTACCTATCGAGTCCTTACCCAGGACCTGGGATAGGCAGATGTGGATAGTAATAGTAATAGTAGTAAAGTTG